TCAGGATTCGAGCTGGGGTCTGCAGTCCTTTGAGCAAAGCAGATTGTTTTAACGCGTGAATGTGGACGTGATTGTGCACAGGTGCAGATAATAGCGATTGATCAGCTTCTCGTCGGCATCTTTGCTTAAAGCCTTAAGCTTTAAAGCGCATCCAGATTCAGCGGCTTAATCCAATCCTCTTTGCTAGTGCGACCTCGCACGCACCCTATCGATCCACCAAGATTCCAAATTCATCACACCATAAGAACACCACCGAGAAACCAGGACGGCAAAAGCATCTATCTAGTTTTTTTTTTTATTTTTTATTTTTTTTTTGTGATCTGGTTCCCGTCACCAACACTCAATACCGAGAAACCGAAGGAAACAAACAAAAACAAAAACAAAAACAAAAACAAAAACAAAAACAAAAACAAGGCAAACAAATTCAAAACATGAAATAAAAAGCGCAAAGAAACACAAAAAATAGGAATTAAAAAGGGACGAGTGGAAAATCGCCCCCAATAAGTGACATGTGTGTGAGGCTGTGAGCATGGCGCCCAAAACACAAACACACTCCATCGGTTGGTCGTCTTTTCGACTCGTTTGTTAGTAGAAGGTCCTCGCCACACCACAGTCGAAAACCGAAAAGAGAACAAATGAATCTTCTCCATAAAGCGGTAAGATGCGTCCGTTGCTATTCATAGTAACGGATGCATCTGGCCCTTCTTTGCCGGAAGATGCATTCGTTCGTTTTCGTTTTCGACAATGGTCTGGCGAGGCCTAAGTAGTATTTCCTTCGTCTAATTCTACACACTCAGCACAGCACAGTCCCTGACGATGGCCGCCGGGTGCTCTGGCGGTGCAGCTGGCTGAAACATATGCAGTAAAAAAAAAAAAAAAAAAAAAAAAAAAAAAAAAAAAAAAAAAAAAAAAAAACCATATGCAGGAGGGGAATTCCGCCGCGAGAGGATCTTTCTTCTTCTTCTTCATGTTCTGGCGCTTGCGTCTTGGCGCGTGCTTTCGCGGAAGTCTCGCCTACTTTTTTTTGTGAGCTTCATTGAATATTCTTCGCTGTGATAGGCTCAGGGTTGTCGTTTCTCTTCTTCTGTCGTGTGCATATTCTCTTCCTGTCTCTCTTTCTCTTCCATTTCTCGATTTATGCGTGTGATCCTTGATTGCGCAGGGGCCATGCTAATCTACCCTTCTCTGTATCGTTCCACTTTTAACGGATTGTCCCGAAGGACCTCTCTTTCTCTTCGTCATGATCTGTGATGCTATGATGTGCTTATTTACGTTCGGCTTATTTACGCGGTCTGGATTGACTTATCTCTCACCCTTCCCCGGGAAATCTCAAGGGTTACTACACATCCGGACTTTTTTTTTGGGGGGGACCATTTCTCAATTTATACGCGTCATCCTTGAAAGCGCAGGGGCATGCACAAAAAATGGCATCCTTGAAAGCGCAGGGGCCATTTGCTAATCTTCATTCTCTCTCTGTATCGTTCCAATAATTTTAACGGATGTCCCGAAGGACACATGCGGGAATTTGTTACTACGGTAGTACTGAAGAGTTATTTAACTATTTACCCCCCATCACATGAATCACGTTCAATCAACTTGGCCATCTCCAGATTTTCCACCCCACCATGAGCACCAGGAGTGCATGCACACCCCCCCCCCTGGAAAATTATTCGCGACGGCGAGGCCGTAATTTTTCTTAGATAACGGGATAAAGGGGTCATGTTCTAAGCGGTCGAGCTGTCGACACGTGTCACACTTCTCTGCCTTGAGGACACGTGCTGCAAGAGAGAAGCAAGTCAAACAACGTACACGGGGTAAACACGGGGAAAAACTTTATTTAAAAAAAAAAAAAAACTTTTAGGGAAAAAAAACCGCGACAAAACCTTTGTATTGCATTCATATCCCCCGGAAAGGGGGGAAAAAGTGCTCCAGGCACTCAAAATGACTTTCGGCGTCATTTTTTGCTGGTCCTTCGGGGGGGGAGGGGGGGGGGCATCGTGAGCTAAAATACAGAGTAACAGAGAAGGAAATTTTTTAAATTATTTTATTTATTTTTTTGCGAAAAGAAAGAAGATTAGCATGGCCCCTGTGCAAGGATGGCACTCATAAATGCAGAAATTGTGTCCAAACAAAAAAAGGGGAAAAAGAGACTCAAAACGTATAAAATTTCTCCAAACAGGACACACGTAGCATCCCAATTGTTTGCGAGCATCAACATTAATTTACATCTTGGCTTTCGACTCATGCTGCACACAAAAAACACGTTTAGATAATAATGAGATAAAGGACCCGGTTTCCAGCAGGTGACGCTCCCCACCCCAATAGATGAAGCACTTTTTCAAAAAAAAAAAAAAAAAAAAAGGATGCTATTGAGCAGTTGACACCTGTCCCACGCTCTTCTCCACTTCGGACTCGTGCTGCACTGCAGCTGCACACACAACATGACACGTCGCTTCGTTCACTCGTCTTCGACATTTGTGACGGCTGCAGAACCGTGTCAATTTGTCAAACCCGCCTCTTGGGCCTCTTCCAACACCCGTTTCGGCTGCCAGCATGCCACCAGTGCCGTTTCATTACAACCTGAGCCAAATTCCGATCGCCTTTTCTTCATGGTTACGTAGAGATGGAGATAGTCTTTGAGATATCGCCATCGCCATAGCCATTGCCGAAACTTCAGTCAATGATCATCGAGAAAGGATAAGTACGGAAGGAGCAGACACCCCTAGCAAACCGGGGGTTCGTTAACCAAAAAAAAAAAAAAAAAGAGCAGTTAGTATGGAAACCATGCTCCTTCTGTCTTCCTGTCCGTTTGTGTACTCCACGTGCTACGTCTAAAGGTCATCTGTCCAAACCATGCTCCTGTCCGTTTGTGTACTCCACGTGCTACGTCTAAAGGTCATCATCTGTCCATCTGTCCTCGCAATTGCCTGTGACTGTTGAAACTGCTACTCATAACACAACGACGACGACTACCACCACCGTGCTGACGCCACCATCGCCAGGACCTCTGTGCGAATGACGACCTCGACGAAGGCTGATAAGCTAAGTTTGTGTACGACAACAACAACGACAACAGCAACGAGAACAGCAACAACGACTGCTAGGACTGCCGCGAGTCCTGCTACAGCTGGATAGGAGGCGCATCCGCATCCCACGACGGAAGGGTCCGAGAGAAACAAGAGAAAACCCACCATCCACAAGTGGAAAAGCTTGGGACAGGCGGAGGAACGAACAAGCCTTTACCTTGGTGGCAGCTCCTATGCCTGACCAGCAAAGCCCAGGTATGGCCATGCAAGCCAGCAGCACAGCGTTGACGTCAGCCTTAGCAACGAAGAAAAAACGCGGCCGTCCGAACTCGATGCCCGTGGAAGCTGACAGCGAGTGTGGCACTGCGCAGAAAGCCGCGCGGATTATATCCTAGCGCGTGACAGCCCCTCACACTTGCATGGCGGCCTTGGCCATGGCACGCCCTGAGCAGTGTGCGGATTCTTTTTTTTTTTTTTTTTTTTTTTAATCCCACTACATCATATATTTCCAAAGACAAAACAATCACTGAGGCCGGGGACCTCACAATTCAACCCGGAGTTATCCTGGCAGCATCAGCCAGTTTAGCTTAGGTCTCCGGCCGAACCGAGGACCAATCACAGAAAACACACACCATCAGCTGTTCTGAACCCCAGAGTACTTCCTTCTCCCAGACAAAACTGTGCCCTCTCACCTAATAAGACTAATTAACACATTGTAAGGGAGACACTCTATCCCCTACTAGGCGTCTAACCCGACGACCAGGCCTATCCGGCCCGGTGGAACCTACCGTTCCCCCTTACACGACACTCTCCTAATGGACTACTGCGTAGTGTCTTTCTTCTTATCGTTCCTACGCTAAGCGGATTTTTATTATTATTATTATTATTATTTTATTTTTTATTGTTTTTTTCTGCGCGGTTTTCTGCCCACAGAACTGCTGGAAAACCCCGTTAGCGGGGGATCTATTGCGGGTGGGAACGGGGGAAAGGCTCCGACACCCGTGAGCAAGAGATTGCCTGCCATGTGGGGTGGTAGCAGGACGTCAATCGCTGCTAATGGGTGGGTGGCGTCAAGGGTGGGACGGGGGGCCAAGGATTGTGTGGGCGGCATATCAAGAGGGGCGGCTGGTGGCACTGCAGGCCGGGTGTGAACGTGCTCGTGACGGCGGGGGAAATGCAGTCCATACGTGTAGGCCACGTGTCCTCCCAAGAAAGGGAAAATTGGTGCCCAAACGTTTCCCTTTTGGGTAAGAAGGGCTCAACGTCGGATGTGAAAATCTGGCGGCCGCCGAGAGTGGGTCCCGACCACTTGGCCTCTGCCTACCAGGTTATGAACTTGGCACGTTGGCACTGTTATGTTCATCATCTTCATTTTGCAGTAGGCCTCCCTTGGGCGCCGAAAGAACAGGCTTCCGCATGGGGGGGTTTCAACCGACTGTCCCCCTCAAAAAAACGTGGCTGGGTGAGTGGGTGGGTGAGTAGGTGGTGGCTGGGTGAGTGGGTGGGTGAGTAGGTGGGGCAGGAGCAACGGCAGCCGCTTGTGTTTTGTGTTTGTTGTCCCCGCGGTCCCTCCTTGGCCGTGATGGCGTGCCCCCAGCGGGAAGGGACAGGCGGGAACCCAGGAGCTTTCCCGCTCTGATACCACTGAACCAGGGTCTGCCAAGATGGCCGATTCCAGTAGAGAGCAAGGTACCACTTGCACGAATTACGAGAATCTGGCCGTTGATCTTTGCTATCTACCGTCAATATCGCATAATTGGTGGATATGGGACCTGGCCCCCTGGCAGAGAGAGAAGACTGATGGTCCAGACGGAGGTGGAGCTGGAAGGCTGGTCAAGCACCGTGACAGAACACAGCACAGTTTTTTGTTTACACCCCTGAGATATCATCATTGAACGGAACTTTTTTGGTTTTTCTACACCCCTGAGATATCATCATTGAACCGACGGGCAATAGGCCATTCAAAAGTATGTTTGACAGTTCACTGGTGTACCAACTGAGCTAGGGGGCCCTTGGTACACAGCAGACACATGACTCACACTGCACATACCAATTACTCCAAGGCTTAAAATGAGGGCCCAAAAAAAAAAAAAAAAAAAAAAAAAAAAAGAATGCCCCGGGCAACAGACCACAGTGGTGATATACCCCCAGGGGACTGAGGGCATACTCACACTACAAGTAGGGGTCTTTTTCGCAAAATCGCGAAATCTACAACAGTATTGCAGTCACGCAATGCCCCCCCTCGCCCCCCAGCAGGCAATGCCCCCCCTCGCCGCCCAGCAAAAAGGCAAACCGTGTAGTATATGTCACTGGTCTGCTGCTGGGCCGCGGAATGCAGCAATTTGGCAGGATGCAGCCATTTGCGAGGGCATACTCGCATTTGCTTTTCTGGATTAAAAATAGAGAAGAAGAAAACCTCAGCGGGCGAGAAAACGAAATTGCTTGCGTACTGAAGTCCAGAAGAGAACAAAGGTCACCATCTGCTATCAGGTGTGTGACCACTCAGATAGCAGATGGAGCAATTTTCGTACATTCTCGGCCATGTCTCATTCAAAAGGGCCACCGTGTGTGAGGGCACCCTCACACTGCGGTACCAAAACCGCATATTCCCCAAAATCCCCAAAAAATGGGGTCCAGGGGTAGTCACGCTGGGTGCACAATTTAGCAAAGCACTTATTCCCGAACCCTTTTGTCAGCGGCCTGAGAGAAGCCGCGGGGGTTGCGGTAACCTCGGGAGGTTACCGCAAATTCCTTATTCTTCTTTTTTTTTTTTTTTTCAGAAATGACTTGAGAATGGAATGGCAAGATATGGGTGCCATATCAATTGAAAATTAGGAATTTGGGCAAATGGGTGACCTCGTCGGCCGGTCAGATGCGAGAAACGAGTCCCTGAACAACGAAGAAAAAAAACAAAAAAAAAAGCAATTGAGGGAAAAAGGGTCGGCGCTGTGTGACTGGCGACCTCAGCAATTTCGCACTGGCCGACCTACCGCAGTGGAATGGGTGGTTTGGGGACACAGTGTGACTTGCGCCGCCACTATATCCCCAAATCAAGCATCCGTATTTTTTAAGAATATGCGGTTTTGGTACCGCAGTGTGAGCCTGCCCTGAGTGTGCCGCACACCTAATTCTCAAAATCGCGGAAGGTTGGTTAAAGGTCTGTAGTATACGCAGGTTTTCTATAAAAAAAAAAAAACATTTTTCTAGCAGGTTCTTAGTCTCATTTTCATGAAATTTTCTGATGAGTTTTCTGAATGTACTCGTTATGGGACGCTGGGCCCGGTTCCCAGTTTGTGCCAAAAAAAAAAAAAAATTGCTTACTGTTTGTGAGTACGCCCTGACTGCATTGAACTGGTGTTGGATGAAGTACCAGTGGTGTTGGATGCAGTACCAGACTGGACAATGTGATACACAACCAAAAGCCCAGTGCTGACCAGAGTACAGGGGGGGGGTATGGTTAAGGATTTCGGACAAGGAAATTGAACCGCGAGGACAGAACAGGCGGGTTCTCCTGCCAGTTGTGAGCCCCAGCAATTCTGAGCCCCTGAAGAGAAACAAAATTGAAGGATGAGTATGACCAGAAAGGGGGAACAAACAAAGAAGACTACCCATTTACCAAATTTCAAGATTGCCTGTTGCATACTCCAATGAGTATGGGCAGAACCAAGAATCAACCAATGTAGGATGAGTATAGATGCAACGGACGTCTGATAAACGGACTGACTCACATAGCATCACTCCACACACATTCAATCGTGAGATGGTGGGGTCTGAGCCATACATAGAAGATGCTCAGCCCCGTACACACATACACAGATGAATGGGGGAGGAGAGACGAAGAGGTGGGGGGAGGTAGACAGCACCGAAAGTCACCGAGGTAGAATCTGATAGGTCACCGATATGGTAGTCCAAAATGTCGTCCATTAAGATCAAAATGTCGAGGACCATAGGTCACCAATGTCGGGGATACAGAGTCCAAATGTAACCGGTGTCTGAACTGTGATGTCGCCAAGTATCAACCCCAACGATCTCCAAGTCTCCAATCTGGTAAGTACCACAGTCTCATATCACCGAAATCCGACTCTGATCTCTGTCCAACTAGCATAAGTCTCTAGTCTGAAGAAGAAGAAGAAGAAGAAGAAGAAGAAGATGAATAAGAAGAAGAAGAAGAAGAAGAAGAAGAAGACGAAGAAGAAGGAGGAGGAGGAGGAGGAGAGAGAGAGAGAGAGAGCTGAAAGAGGGAGGGAGGAGAGGTCCTCCGGCTCCCAGGTACCTCAGGCGGCAATGGCCGCCGTGCTGGCTCGGTCGCCCTGCTGCTGCTCCGCTTGCTGCTGCGCTAATGCTGCGCTGCCGCTGCTGCTCCTTGCTCGCTCCTGCGCTAAACTTAGCGCATCAAAACAGCGCTCTGGCGCTGACCATACCATACCCGTATAGTGCCGGTAGTTCGATGCCCCCAAGTGAGGCTGTACCGGTACTTTATACCAGTGGGGCAGAGGCCGGCCTCAATGCTGTGAGGCCTGGCCATGCCCTGAACCGTCCAGATGGACGGTTCAGCCCCAACCGGCGGGCGGCAGCCTCAAGAGCGCCGCCAGGCCCAAACGATAATGCCGTTTGGGCCTGCCCGTTGGGTACTGGTCCAAGATCAGGCCCTGAGGGCCTGTACTATCCCAAGGTCGGGCCTTTAGGCCCTGATGTGTCCCTCCGACCCTAAGTCGGGTCCGGTAGGGCCCGTGTGCGTCGAAGATGTAACATTGCCCCTTGCCAAGAGGACCAAAAGTAAGAAGGGGAGAGCCGCAGTTCTAGGTAATAATAGCTAGACTAGACTCTCATGCGGAACGTGCAATTCTTGAAATCCATTAGATTCATCACGATCAGACAGTGGAGGGAGCGGGTGCACCAACACGGAAGTTTGAAGGAAGAGCACCCGCATAGCAGATGTTCTCCGAGAACTGAGGCGAGCCTTGGTCACCAAACACCGTTCTACGGCACGAATGCGAGTTAACCCAGCTTGCAGCATCTGCAGTTATATCGGGCGTTCCACGTGGACCTAGGAAGCAGGGTGGGATCATTTGAAACCCTCTTAAAGTTTGTCTACTACGTAAGGAGGCAAAAAAAAAAAAAAAAAAAAAAAAACATGAAAAAACAAAAAAGAACGAGGCAAGCATTTACATCCAGACGTGTAAAAGAAGCAAAAAGTCGTAAAACCTCCCCCCCGCAACGAAACCTTTGTATCCATTTCCCCCCAAACGGGAAACGGGGAAAAAGGTGCCACAGGTCCGAAAATCACTTTTGGTGTCCAATGGTGTCATTTTTGCACCCTGGGGGAACAAGGCACAAAACGGCGCTGTGGTGGGGAGTTGC